GTTCAAATGTCAAAAATCCCTTTATTAGGAAAATGGCAAATTTCTTTATTAATGCAAAGGTGACTTGGTTTATCGTTACTGTGACAAACGAAAACACTTTATTTGATGAATCCTTAAAGAAAATTTTAGTTAATATCAATCAGGAGAAAAGTTATTGCAAAAATATATGTTGATCCCTAGACACTTTTGATGTGTGTATGTTATGATCATATATGAGCTATATTACTGTTAAGTTTCATTAAAATCCATTCAATATTTTTTAGGTGAAAGAGTAACAAAGATCCATACAAACGGAAGATTGAAATTAAAAGCGCAAGTGGTTAATATTCAACTTTTAAGCGTTGTAGATCCTAAACAATCATATAAAATGAAAAGTGGCTTTAAGAACCTAAACATGATTTTCAATTATCTAGACAGTGATACCCCACTCGACATATTTTGTCAACTTTATTTTTTTACTTCGTCACAATATGGCGCCTAATTGTCTTCATATTGAATTTTGATTACTTTCATATCTTTAGTAGCACTCCCATGATTGAGACGAATCGATTGATGTATGAATCATCAAAATCGGTCCAGGCATTTGGTCTCTAGTGTGCCACAAAGGAACAAACATACATATATAGACTGTTAAACACATAACCCTGTCTGCGCGTCGTGCTTCGCGCTCTTGCATTGCGCAGCCGGGTAAATATATGACGCTCCTTTGGAAAGACTTGACAAAATTAGAGACTTAGGCTTAACATTAGATACTAAGATGGACTTTCACCAACACGTGATAAACGTATGCAAATCGGCGAGTAGGATCCTGGGATTCATTATCAGAACTTCCTCCGAATTTAGTAGTTCTTTAGTGGCTAGAGTATTATACAATGCCTACGTACGTAGTAAATTGGAATATGGGGCAGTAATTTGGGACACCCACGAAAAAAAATATTGCCTCATGATAGAAAAGATACAACGAAAATTTGCTCGATGGTTGTACAAGAAAAACTATGGATATTATCCATTCTTGTATCCATCAACTTTTGTCTACGGTATGGTCGACCTAGAAGCACTGGATATGAGAAGGAAATTGCTCCTCATTGTACACTATTTATCAATTATTTACCAAAAGATTGATTCCCCACACGTGCTAGAAAGAGTACGCCTTTTGGTACCCACTCGCATCCCGCGTGATGCCGAGGTTTTATTGGAGCCGCGCCAGCGGCCGCGCTTGCTAGAGAGGCCTGGCACCCGAACGGTCCACGCTGCCCAAGCGCCCACAGTACGTGCATTGCGCCTGATCGGGGGCATGCTCGCTCAATACGATCACTTAGACCTGTTTGCTGACGGTCTGGGGAGATTAATTACCATGACTCGCCAGATTTTAGATTCTGGGTTTTAATCTGTAATTTGACATTTGACAGTGTATTTTCTAGTTTATTTTAATTTGTAATTTATTTATTGTTTTCACGTTTTTAATTATATCTTATTGACATTTTTGATTCTGTAGCTTCGTTGACTTTGATGTATGTTTATTTTTAATTTTGACTTTTTGATTGTGATTCCACTTATGACTATTTATATGTAATAAATGCATTGCATTGATTGTTGGTGTGTTAGACTAGCTCTGTAAACCAGCATGTGAAACTGAATAAATAAATTAGTTCCTGGTACCCTAACCGATGCTTTTTTTAACAGGACCTCGTAAAACCCCATACCATTATCTCATTATTCGCATAATTAATATCCTTATGACCTAACATCATTATTACTTTAAAGTCATCTGATGATAACAAAAAAAGGTTTTAAAAGATTCTGATAGTACGGAAGAATGTAGACTAACTACGTTATTAGTTCCTAGTACCCTAATCGACGCTTTTTCTTAGAATTATAATTATAGTCCCATAATAGGATTAGTCAAAATATTTTATTTTCCGAACTGTTTAACAGGCAAAATTGCTGTTTGGAGCACCTTAAATAGATTAGGTTATTAGTACACAATGAGTCCATGAACAACCTAAGTCATATATTAGTGAGGAGACGAGTGCCCATGTTCTGCTGGAATACAGAGACGTTGCAAGACAAAGGACTTCTCTAATGGGAAGCCCGCGGATACTAGTAGAAGCCTGCAGCAACATCCGGGATCTGCTGAGCTTTCTGGAGGAGCTGGGATTTGCATCAGTCCTGATGCCAATCCCCACGCAAAATAGGCACTGGGTGTCGAGTTGCGGATACAGCCCGCCGTACTACTAAGACTAAGTCATATATTAGTACTTTAGGTCTTGTTTCATACAAAAAAAACACAAAAAATTTTTTTGTGGCCAAACTATTAGGTTAAGTGAAAAATGTTATATGTCATGTCTTTACGAGAGTGTGATCATATTACTCTTTCGACCCACTGTGGGCCTGCCGGCTCCCGTGGCCGCTTCAAAGCGCTGTGCGCTGCTTACTCTTTTCCATGTATAACATAATTTCTCCTTCTTTAATAGGGTTTACTAAAATTTTTAATTTCTCAGTATCTTCGCCGCGCCTCCTGGTGTACATTGTACTTAAAAAGGAACCAAGCTAATTTTTTTTTCGTCAATATATTTTCGTAACCATTCGTTAGATGGCGCTGTTTACTTTATACATCGCGCATGGGTTTGCTTCACAGCGTGACCATAATACAGTTCCTTACTATTTCTCATTACCTTTTCCAATATCCTTATTGGACTATTAATCGCAATAATTTTTAGAGTGGTGCCGGCTCTGGTACTACATATTATTACGAAAAATTGGAATTGAAGACAGGTTTTATAGATTACCGCCTGCGCAGACTACGGAGTTTTGTCCCCGTAATGTTAAGCGATGCAAAACATACCAACAACATACTTGAAGTTGATTTAATCACTTAAAATAGTAGGCTCAGGACACATGAAGCTAAGCCACAATAAAAAAAATGTGTTAATTAATCTATGTTTTTATAATTTAAGTTTATAATTCCTTAGACAACCCTCCGCAATTATTTGATAAATACGTTTAAGATTATTGACGTGACAACGTCTTAAATTAGGTTGCGGCTGGGAGTCACTTATGAAAAAGTGTAACGCTCGGTAACGTTACGATGAGTCTCTCGTGTTAAGTTTAAGTTTACATGTACAATGTTTTAGTAAACAAAATATATTTCTATAGTTAAAATTTGTGCAATTCTTATTTTCATTCAATTCCTTGTTCCTATTGTGCAATTTGATTATATTCATATCAATAAATATTCTACCGAGAAAAAGACGTTGTCACGTAAAATCTTCGCCCGTAAAACCGACTTTACAGGCAACCATTTTTTTTTATTTGTATTACTGATGATGAAATCTACAGACGCTAAAGAATTCCTTCAATAAGTATTTGGCCTTTCGGTCGTAATACTCTTTTTTTGATGTATCAAGAGTTCTTTTTTCCACTTCTTTACTAAGAACATCACTATCGAGCGCTCACCGCGGACTCCGCGTGCGTTGCCGCCTCTTGCTTGTCACATATATTATGTTGTTCTATTTTTTAGCTGTCTTTCGCGTGCTTTTGTCCTGCCCGGTCCCTCGGCACGGTATAGATAATATTACCGTGTCCACGGTGTCCGCGGTAGTTCGGGAGACGCCGTGTGCGTTACTTAATGCAGTTGTAATTGTAAGCGATCTATTACGGCGGACAAGTCCCGTCTGCGCAGGCTATTAGTGTTTATAAGTTTCATTTCTACGGTCTGTACCAAATATATGTGTTTATGGTTGAGCATTAATTTTAAAAACACACGAAAAGATGATTAGTAAATCAACTTCAAAACTGCGTAGGTAATAACTTTTTGCTCAATGTAACATTTATATTTCGCTAGGAACCGTCCAAACTTATTAGGTGGGCCGATAGATGTGTCTGAAAGTGTTTATTTGTATAAGATACGTCAGTATATTATGCTGCAAAAATAACGTATTTTCGACACTCAAGAGAATCAAATTTGATAAGGTACTTTCCATTGACCTACAACTATGAAATTTGGCAGGTAATGTTACCACCTTAAAGTACATTATCTATTGTACTGAACCCTTTCAGTGAACGAGTCAGATTCGCACTTGCAAGTTTTTTGCCGTGAATTTAACTAATAGAATTGTAGTAATTAGACGAAAGAGTAGGTAAGGAATATAAAATTAATATTTCGAATGAGTTTTTGGAAATTCAGTAATGAAAACCATTATTATTTTATTCGCTAATGGCATTTTATTACAAAACGTTCATTATCTAATTAATCAACTAATATCATTTGCTTTCTTTGTTTGTTTAATAAATAACAAAATGCGGTGTGGCTGAGGTTTGTCTATATATAACTATTATCCTTACCGCCAAATTGTCGTAAGCGACACTCGCCAAATTATCGTAAGCGACACTTTTGTCGAAATGCGTTTTTTGTGGAAACTAATATTTTAAATCGTAACGGACCCATCTCTGTTGATATTTCCCTCTATTCTTCCCTCTATTATATTATTACGGTGTTCTTTTGGAGGGAAATATCAACAGAGATGGGTCCGTTACGGTTTAAAATATTAGTTTCCACAAAAAACGCATTTCGACAAAAGTGTCGCTTACGATAATTTGGCGGTAAGGGCTCGATATGGAGGGATTGAAATTCACATATAAGTAATGAATTTTAGTGAAACTTAATTTAGCATGTTTTTTTATTCATAAATTACATAATAAGACTCAATTTCATATAAGAACTATTTTATTGATCCTCGATTCATATAGGTTCCAAAATAAAATACTAACTCAATAAATATACCCGATTCTATTACTAATCAACAATAAAAATCAATCTAAGCATTTCTTTGCACATCGCAGAAGGATATTGTTAATCTTAAACTTCCCTTTAAAACGAGAAAAAATATTATCTACAATATATGTATAGTCTCATAGTGAAAGATAAAACAAAAAAAAGTTGTAATATTAAAATTTTATTTTCACTAATAACAATATTAAAAAAAATCAAAAACATAATTTTTCGGGATTTACAATACTGAGAACTATGGATCATATTTTTTTTGCAAGACAGCAATTAACGTTATACTGCGTAGAATATTGTACACGTGTATTGAACAATTTCATTGGAAACAAAACGCTCATTAAGCGAGAACGTGGGAGTATAGAAAGAAATCAATTAAGTCAAAATGATGTTACTAAGGTTTCGCATGTCGCCATGGGCCCTTTATCCGAGATATACATAAAACACCCAATAAAAAAAATCAGATTTGTAACCATTTCAATAAAATTGTTCATTACTTATTGATTGTCTTACAGATGAACTTTTTAGTTCATCTGTCTGAAGTCAGTTTAGAGAAACTTTTATGTTTGACTAAAGTCAATACTTCATAACAATAGAATGAAACAACACGTGACATAATGAAGCATTAAAATAATTAGACGTTTCTGAGAAAGGTTAATAAGCATCGTCCTGGTCTAAAAACGATTACAGCAAATACGCGTGAACTTTACTCGCAATTCAGCACAGATTCCAAAAATATGAATTCAACACATAGAATTGTATTTGATGAGTTACATAATCGCGATGAATTGGGACGATGCTTGATTATGGAAAATATATAAACGATCGCTTATTAATTTTTGAGAATCATTTCAATACGAGCTCTATCCGCCTTATTCCAAAACGCGGAGTAGAGTTAGTCTTGGATTTCTTCAGTGATGGCTCTCTCAGGATTTGGCCAATATCTGGTGTTTGTGTCCAAAATTTCTTGCCTAAGTTTGTTCGGTGAGATCTAGTCTTGGTTTAAACCTAATGTTGTCTCCGTCTTGTTTTTAGCAAACAATAGTGACAGCATCAGTTTTAGTTTAAGTTTAACTTTAGTTTACGTGTTGTTATAAGGTGGTTGATGTATTTGGAGGAATTATGTTCCTAGTAGTTCTCGTATGAATGTTTCTGTTTCTGTACCCTTAGTACGAGTTTGAGCTCACGAAACCAATCATAGTTTTCGTAATTGTAAATTACGTTTCTATGTCCATTTTGGTGAAAAGTAACCAAATACAATTAAAATTTAAGAAGACGCAAATGAATTAATGATAGAATTTAAAAACTGTTTATTTGTATTGAAACGAAAATAATAAAATCAATACCCTTAGTACGAGTACGAAAACTATCATATTTTTCGTAATTGTAAAACTCGTACTAAGGGTACTGGTTTAACTTTAGTGTACGTGTTGTAATAAGGCGGTTTATGTATGTATCTGGAAGAATTATGTTCCTGGTAGTTCTCGTACGAATGTTTCTGGTGTGGTTTTTAGTTCTCGTATGAAGCTTGTTTTCCCCGTTAGGCACGTTAGTATAATCGTTCGGCCTTACTGGGCCCGTTAGCGGAGGCCCACGCTTCCATACGTCGCTCCAATTCAGGCCGGAAGTGACGAATCAAACCTTGGACGGGCCACGCGGCACCATCACCTAGGGCGCAAATCGTGTGTCCTGGGAAATAATAGATATTTTCAAAAAAATTGCTAAATAAAATGGATTTACGGAAGTTGTATACGTTGTTCGAAAATTCAAAATTACGGGCCATACAACGGAGCGTACGGTAATGCATTTACCGCACGCTCCCATACATAGCGCCGTGCGTATACCTACATACTGTATCAGGTCTTAATTCAAACGCATGCTTCGAAGAGTTATGACAGTTGGAAATGCAAGCTCGTAAATTTTTACGACTTATTGCTATATGCGGAAGAATAAAGACCTTATTTGTTTGACTCTACGCGCAACTCTGAATGTGCTGTTAGCAATATAGCAGGTACGGAGCGCGAGAAAAAGAGAAGGCTATATAACCGACCATGCATTTGAATATCACAAATATTTTCTATTAAATAGTTTATATTAAGTTTTAGAACAAAATTTGCTTCAATGCGCTAAATTTAAACAAACATTAATTTAGATATCTGTCGAAAAAACGTCACTTTACGTACTACAAGTAGTTTTTTCGCCTTTTCTTCACGGAGCTTTATTTGTCTTTACTTACCAATATAGCAAGTACGGAGCGCGAGGAAAAGAGACGGCTATATAACCGACCATGCATTTGAATATCACAATTATTTTCTATGAAATTAGTTTATGTTAAGTATTAGAACAAAATTTGCTTCAAATGCGTTAAATTAAAATCAGAAATCAATATATCTTTATTCAAATTGGATGTAAAGTAGGTACAACTCTTTTGAATCGTCCATATTTTTTTTAAAACAATCATTGATAAAATACCTCTCGAAAGAACGACACTTTACGTACTACAAGTATTCTTATTTTCGAATTTTTTTACGGAGCTCTGCGACATCTTGACTTTTCAACGGTCTGTGGGTGAATGCGAACCAAGAAGTGCTTGAGTGGAGTTCAAGCACTTTTTGATTGGGACATATTTTGAGCGCAGATGGTGTATCTAGGGTATTTTATATCGTTGCCCAATCTCCCTATTCCATCCATAGGAAAGGCCTGTGACCCAGCAGTGGGGACATTAATAGGCTGGTGATGATGATGATGTAGATCCAGTTAAGCACACGCTTGAGAGAGTATACAATAATAACTGCTAGTGAGAGTATAGAAATGTAACTCACCTTCAATTTGTTTGGAGATTTCCCATAACATGTCTATCTCTTTTGGCGAAGCATTTCCGTCGACCATTCTATAAACAGAGCAATATTTATAAATTTATAAAATGTAATAGCATGTATCACCTAAGACATGCAGAAGAACAATTAGGTACAGAAATAAGTCAAATTGGAGGAGACCTTTGTCAACCGACCCAACATCCAATGTATGCAGATCAAATTTTTTATAGAATGTCATTTAAGTATTGTATGTAAGTTCTGTGTTGTTATTAATTTTATTTAAATATAATATGTACTGCAATATTACATACGTCTGGGCTACCTTGCGGCCTAGAAACACTAGAAGAAATTCCATCTTTGACAAGTCAAATTTTTGTTAGAAAAAGAAAGAAAAATCCGTTTTATTGATAATCCTCAGTTAAATACAGGTGGCTTATTTGAGTAAAAATAAAAATGGAATAATATTAGGGATATTGGGCAATATTAGGCATCCACGCTAAGCCGTTGGTCCCGGCTGCGTCTGCAGTTGTTAGCGTCCAAAAATCTGCACTGGGCCCAGAGTGGTGAGTCATGGCCCAATCTCTCTATTCCTTCCATAGGGATACTAATGGGCTAATGATTATGAGAATAGTTAGATTAACATCTTGCCTGTATATGATCTTGTTCATCCACGACACTCCCTCCCTGCAAGGCGTGCACTGTCCGCACGACTCGTGCTTATAGAACATGATGAGGCGAGCGATCGCCTTCACTATGTCCGTGGACTTGTCCATCACGATGATGGCGGCGGTGCCGAGTGAGGTCTGAGCGGCAACAAGCCCGTCGAAATCCATCAGGACGGTCTCGCATACGCTAAAATGTTGTGAGTGTGTTAATATTCTAAATATGTCTTAACAAAAGGGACTCGTGCTCATAGAACATGGTGAGGCGAGCGATCGCCTTCACTTTGTCCGTGGACTTGTCCATCACGATGATGGCGGCGGTGCCGAGTGAGGTCTGAGCGGCAACAAGGCCGTCGAAATCCATCAGGACGGTCTCGCATACGCTAAAATGTTGTGAGTGTGTTAATATCCTAGATATGTCCTAACAATAGGGACTCGTGCTCATAGAACATGATGAGGCGAGCGATCGCCTTCACTATATCCGTGGACTTGTCCATCACGATGATAGCGGTGGTGCCGAGTGAGGTCTGAGCGGCAATATACGCTAAGCTAAAATATTGTGTGTTAATATTATCTTATCTAAGTGTTCATAAAAATGTGTGATTTTGAGGCTTCAACCATTGTATAGCAATGGTTTTGCCAGCAGAAAATGTTGTCCCAATTCTTGTAAAAATATTTTCTTCAATTACAAAAATAAACATTTCAATAGAAAAAATCCACGCGGACCAGGCAGCAGACGGGACTCGAACCCGCACCCTTCGCAATCTATTCGCAATTTTTTCTATTAAAACTTTTCTTTAGATTTAAACATCTAGCAGTTAAATGCTTAAAAAATAAAATAAAAACAACTATAAACATATCATTCGACATTTTTTATACTTTTCAAAAATAATGACAATTTTTTGTTGTACTTGTGTAAACTTCGATTAGTAGGGGTCTGCTTAGGAGAGTAATATAATTAGTTACTTACTCTTTAGGTATCAGCGGTGTGGATGAACCCCCTGGTATAATAGCCAGTAAGTTATCCCATCCTCCACAAACACCGCCTGCGTGTCTCTCTATAAGTTCCTTAAGCGGTATGCTCATTTCTTCTTCAACGGTGCATGGTGTATTCACATGGCCAGAGATGTTGAACAACTTGGTGCCAGAGTTACGGGGCCGTCCGAATGAAGCAAACCATTTTCCGCTGCGTCTGCAGATGGTCTGTGAAAGAAAAGGAACTTATTCAAAGTGTTTATTTATTTATGATTTGGTTTAACAAACTTAGCAGTGTCTGTAACTTGTTTCTTATTTTGATCACTATCTTCATAACTCAATGTATTTGTCTTCACATGGAAAACAGAGTGCCTTAAGGTGCGGTCAGATGGCGTGTGTTATCGCGCACGCGGAAACGTTTGAGATTTATCAGTCCCTATACATGATACGAGGTAAATAGAAATCTGCTAAGAGTTCTCCACCCCTGCGCAACGCCGTCTGACCGCACCAGTACAGGACCATACAGACACACGCACACACATCTTATGCTTCATTCACATTCTTCTTTTATATATACACGCCTTCTGATTTTTGCGGCTTCTGAAGTCCTGAGATGGTAAATTAAATTATTTAACTCTGCTTATAAAAAAAATATATTATTATCAAAGAGCCCTGTTTTCTCTTTATCACTTAGAATTACTCTAGGTTTAATACTCACAGGGGCTACAGCAATAGTTTCCACATTATTCACAGTAGTGGGGCACCCGAAAAGGCCCACGTCAGCGGGGAACGGGGGCTTCAGACGGGGCTTGCCTTGCTTGCCTTCTATGGACTCGATGAGGGCAGTCTCCTCACCGCAAATGTACGCGCCGGCACCGCGATGTACGTAAACATCAAAATCGTAGCCAGAACCGCAAGCGTTCTTACCAATTAAACCTGCTTGGTATGCCTAAAAACAAATAACAGATTAAATGATCATAATCATTATACTTTTACTATGTATTAGTTGAATGCAGGTATTTATCAGATGTTTCATCTGCCTGCCTAACAAGAATGATAAAAATAATGTATTTCAGACCTAAAACTCATTCCTTAATGCGTAACAATTTAAGATTAAATTATAATATAAATTTACAACTTGTAACTAAAAATTTACTAGAAAAAATTCAACTTGGCCAAGAAGTCAGTCTGGCAACTGGAAATAATTATAAAAACTAACTAATTAACTTAATACAAATTTAGTTTATAATTATATTGCACAAAAATCAATGCGTTTCGAATCAGTAAGAATGTAAATTGTTTTAAAAATACATGCTGTAACAATTTCCGGTTATAGTAACTTTTTCTAATTACAAATTGACTTTACAAAAAGTAATTAAGTTACCTTTGCACAATTTGTAATTGTGCAAAGGTAAATTAATTACTTTTTGTTCGAATGATCTAATTAAATTAACAATAACAATCACTTTAATTTGAAATAACCACAATTGATCTTGTGATAATTGCCGAACCATTTCATAACAATAATATTTAAACATAATTTCTAATCATCCAACTAATGTAACAGATTAAAACCACAGTAGCATTAAAAGAATTTTACAAGATTTTGCAATAAGTGGTATTAAAAAAAATTTGTACCTCTGCAATAGCAACTTGTAGATTGCTGGCCTCATTGTAAAATTCCCCTCTGATGTAAATGTATGCGGCTTGGGCTCCCATAGCACGTCCAGCAATAAGGCATCCTTCCACAAGTTTGTGAGGGTCATGTCTCATAATTTCACGGTCCTTGCAAGTGCCAGGCTCTCCCTCGTCAGCATTTACTACTAAATATTTTGGGCGGCCATCAGAAGGCTTGTTCATGAATGACCATTTCATTCCAGTGGGGAAACCTGCACCTCCACGACCACGGAGACCAGATGTTTTGAGCTCATCTGTAATTTTATTTGCAGTTAATGTAAAATGACCCTTACATTTAGAAAAAAGCTAAAATGCATGCAAGAGCATAGAATTTATAAGATGTTTATCCAAGACCATCAAATACCTTTAAGCAGCAAGCATATTCTTAGTCAAGCATTATGAATATTGACAAGAGTGTTCTCTTCTAAACTTCTAAACACTGGTTAATTAAATAAAGTTCAACATAATAAACATCCCCATTAGTAATTTTATTTTACTGCAACCAGTATTTCCCATGCAAGATTTGTGAAGCCCTGGGGATCCTCTTTGGCCAGGCCATACTTTGAGTGAGACTGCATTAAGAAATCTATTTCTACTGATGCCTAAACTTTCACTGATCCCTTTAAAGAAAGTCTATCAGCAGATAGATATAATTCAATTGTTTCTTGTGAACTAGAGTTGTAGAAATGTTCTTGATTCATAGCCAAATCTTTACTTACTAACAATCCAGTCAGTTCCTTTTAGAAGAATTTCCTTAGTCATGTACCAGTCACCTCGAGCCATCGCTCCCTTCAATCGCCAGTCATGTCTGCCGTATAAGTTTGTGAAGACTCTGTCGTTATCTGCCAGCGGGCCAAACTTAGACTTGGCCGGGGGCGCCTGGCTCTGCTGGTAGCGTACCGGCACATTGTTGATGCCATTGGCAAGGGGCGCTACAATGCCTGAAACCAGATGGAGACATGTCAAAATTATGTAAGTTGCGCAGCAAACAATAACACTACAGAATTGCAAATTCTTAATCTGTCCGACTTCGGGACAAGTATCTCCAACGATTATTGGCACCAATTGATTATTGAGGAAATGTTTTATTTACCCAGATTTGTTTTTGTTCTCTGAATAACTCTCACCAGAGCACCAGCCATTTTTTCCTAAAAAATAATTAAAACGTCAACGTCAATCCCTTTTCTTGATGTCAATTTGACAATCTGCTTGTTTTACGTTTATTTTTAAATGGCAATCCAGTCTTTATGCTATATTATATTTATATCTGAGCCCAGTGTTGCCAACTCTACGTCTTTTTACGTAGATCTACGTATTTTAGGCCTTTTCCGGAAACCTACTAACTTCAGTCCCAGAATCTACGTATTTTCTTATTTTTTTTCAAATTTGTAAAATAACTTAATTCACTAGAATAAAGAAGAATATTTTCCGTTACTTTACTACTTAAAAACTATACAAATGTTTATTTCTTATAAAGATGTATCTTACACTTTCGTATCTTGTAGAAAAGGTTCCCGTTATTGGTTTTGTTGACTAAATTAATGCTGGACGCAGGATTTGTGAAAGCAGAAACGACAAAACTCTTTGACTTAGTAGGTACATTCATAACATTAAAAATTGTATTTTTAAACTTTTAATATTATCAATGAGTACCTACTCACATCGAAATGATCTTTGCAAAAAGAAATCAGTCGATAAAGTTACAGGATTTAGCAAGTTTTAAACATATGTTCATGTGTAAGTATGTTTATTTCTCTTGGCAATTTAAACCACAACTTTTCTAGTCTTTTACCAAGTGTATCATGATAACTACTATATTTTTCATATAGATCTATTAGAAGTCATGGTTTTATAATATTAACTTAGAGAGTTTATTTCCTACGTGCTTGCGAGTGTTTGTTTACAAATGTTTTGACGTCATAGCATAGATAAGTCTATAGACTAAATAGCGTTTTTGTATAATACATTTTTTTTCGATCTGATAGAACGATTATTAACAATTTAAAACATAATTCCAAAAAGTGTCAACTAGCCCATTTAACAACAGTTTATCCTTGTCATTCTCTATACAGAATGAAAGACTGATGTTAAAATTAGTTTTAAATTAAGAGAACCATCCAGAATCGACACCCACCAGTGTCTGTGTCTGATGGTAAATGTTTACCACAGCATGGTAAATGCTTCCAATGCAGCGACTTCTCCAAGAACTCTTTGTTCTATCTCCCCTCCGTTCTTAAACAAATTGTATAACAAAATACTCATTTTATTCGGTTTCACCTAACTTCTTCATTTCACTCAGAGAAAAGTAGGTAGATCTACGTACTTTTCATATCCAAAATTTACTAATTCTACGTAATTTTCTCATCAGGCCTACGCCTTTTTCGAAATCCGAGTTGGCAACACTGTCTGAGCCAGCGAACTTCGTATTGCTATAAAAATATGGGTTGTAGAAGGGTGAAAATTTAGGGTTGCATGTATTTTTGAATGATGTAACATAAAATTAAAAAACATTTTCTTTTGTCCAAAATAAAATAAAAATTTAATGGTGGACCACCGCTAACATTTAGGGGGATGAAAAATAGATGATGTCCGATTCACAGACCTACTGAATATGCATATAAAATTTCACAAAAATCGGTCGAGCCACATGGTCGAGCCGTTGCGGACAGTGTTACCAACCCTTACCAAAATTTTACCCTAAGTTTTTTTTAAAGTCCCCTAAAATTCCCTAAATATAGAAATTTATATGTAGAATTATCTTATTACCTAAATTCTAAAGTTGTTCATGAATTAAAACGTTACATATTTAGTTACAGTAAATTATTTTATTAATAATTACATTTTCCGAATGGAAAATCAAACGAAAATGAGCTGACAGGCTTTATTAATCTTAATTAGCTGTTTTAATTGGTGGAAGGCAAAGAACTTAAGTCCATACAGCCTTAGGAAACAACCTGCCACACAGTCAGTTCAGTCGTTTCATATCGTGGTGCGTTCCATTCTACGCACAAAACTGAAAGAAAACACACACTTCGTTTTTCTATTTAATTTCCCAAAAAATTCCAGCCCCTAAAAAAGTCCGTCTAGCCCCTAAATCTGGGGGCAAAACCCCTAAGTTGGGAACCGTGGTTGCGGAGGAGTTCAATTACGTACGGTGTACGACACGAGAATTCTGTATATTAAAAGATAGCTATATATTTTCTTAGAGCATTTATACTTAAGTATATTTTAAAAATATTTAAACGAAATCTGCCCTTGGACGAAAATTCTTACTCTATGTCTATACCTTTGCCGCTAAACTTTGTGCGCATGTGTTCAATAATTGTTTTCAACGTTATAAAACTAGGTTCATGATCATCTGTTTAACAACTCGTAACCTTCGCTAAAGGTGTGTTTTTTGATAACAGAGGCTATATGACAATATGAAAAATTAAGTACAAATTATTGGCATCTGTATTTAATATGAATATTAGAAGCTATTTTACTATTCAGAAAGAACAAATAATTAATAACTTATAAGATAAATCATAAAAAGAAATGACATTTTTGCCATTATGGTAACTTGTCCGAAAACGCCTGCGATTGGTGAAGACTAAAATGACGTTGCACGCTAGCAAACTTCCGGTCAAAGTGACATTACACTAGTGTCGATTCTGGCATGATTCTCTAAACCTAAACTTAAAGAACAATGCCCACTGCCCATACATTCGAATACCTGTCACTTCGGTTTTTTCTTTATGGATGTATATTGACTTTTGAGGTTGTTAACTAATTATTACAATCTTCTGAAATAATGTTGCTAATTTGGTTTGATTTGGCAATGAGGAATAGAAGTTATAACGAAAACTAATTCTGAGGTTATTCAACTGCTGAAGATGTCATTTACTTCCTTTGTGGTTACGAGATTGATTATAGATTATCTAATGCCGGAACTTCACTTGGCTATTTGTAAACTTGACAACAGTCTGTCCTTATCATGTTTTAAGGAAAGAAAAGGACAGACTGAAGTCAAGTTTACATGAATAGCCAAGTGAAGTGCCAGCATAAGATTATTCATTTGTGTGCTGTCACAGCTGTGGTGTCTTAGCCCAGCTAGGTATTTATTTCAATTCGCTTGTTTTGTTTGATTGAAGCTTGATCTGAGGATTGAAGTATAAGGATTAATATCATAACATGTATCATGCTGAGGTGTCATCCTTATAATATTGTCTTTGGAATTAAACAAGTTTTTTTTTATATTTAATCAATAATTCAGTTTCAATTATTTTATTGAAATAGTAGGTACTTAATGTCTTAGTTTCTGCAAGCGAATGAATAAATGATAATCTTGACCTTTACCTAATTATATCTATAGACATCTAAGACATTTAACTATGTATTATTTAAATCTCTGGTAGACAAGTATATAAGTAGGTAATAATCTAAAATAAAATTACAATACCTTCCATTAATTGAGATGATTGGTACTATGAGCAGCTGTCATTATTGCTGGCATTTTTTCGGAACGAATTTCCTTCTCATGTAGTCAGCCGAAGAAATGATGGAGTCCTAACTATTTCGGTCATGTTTCACTAAGAAAATGGCCAGTCTTTGTTAAGAACCGAAAGAAACTTTAAATTAAAGCCATGCCTTTTAAGTATTACATTACCATTTAAATACGTATTTACCGCATGGCTGGCAACATTGGAAAGGAGAGTGCGAATCTACATTTAAGCTGCGTTCATAATTATGTCATTTTATTTTGATACAATACTCTTCCCTAATGGATGCGTTCGTGTGATAGCAAAAAATTTACCTACATAATGGTTATTTTCAAAAAATATTTTTGAAAAAACTGGATTGTAGTTTTTGTTGATATTTTGATTTCGTAATAAGCGAATAATTACCTTTTTTTTGAGGTATGTCACATAATTATACATGCAAAATTTTTTTACATATTTGACAGGTCACAAATGGGCATCCTTCTTTGACAACAGTGCATCCATGTCATTCTCTTTACAGAATGAAAAGGAGAGACTGAGAATCATGTTCTTAGACGTTTTAGTGACAGTCGTGTGACGTCACATGCTAGTGAGACGTCATAATGTTCAGAGAAACGTTTTCGCTGCAACTTGAAAATTGAATTTATTATTTAGTTTTTTACTAAATTAGACAACAGAATGATGAATATCTGATAATATAGTTTTAATGGCCTCCATAAACATTAGAAAAGCACGTTTTCTAAAACTTGTCCAATACTCTAGTTTTAAGTAAGAACGAGATAATATGCCTCTGTTGTGGCTATCTCATATCTGTACCCGGGTTGGCCTTGTTTTCATCTAACAAAATAAAATAAGCTTTAGTTTTTGAGTATCTATAACGGGAGACGCCATTACAGGCAACTCCTCTTGTGAGAAATAAAGTGCTAATAGGGCTACTCCCGTTTACAGGTCGCGGCACGTAACTCTAGCGCTGAACAAAACGCGGAGGGGATAGCTGCGCATGGGTACGACTAGAGAGCCAATCGGCGCAACGCATGCCCACCCGCGCACCTCATTTTCCCCAAGACATCTTAATTTTTACTTCTACGCAATAACGGTTAGCGCTAGTTTCATGCCGCGACTTATACATACTCAAAGATTTTAGCAGACAATGGACAATAATATAATACATACTCAAAGATTTTAGCAGACAATGGACAATAATTTTGGGTTTGACAACACTGAATTCACGTCATCGAACATGGCTTTTTTGGCGGGATTTCATCGAGTGCGGTTGGCGTCTTATTTTAATTATTCTTAAATTCGTTCATAGTGGATATTGTGAAATAAAATTGGTGTGGTTTTGTGTAACAACTGTCTGCGTAACTGAAGAATTAGCGGAATCATTTAAATATACGCTATTCCGGTCAAGTGGACGTGAGAATTTTATTGTAGTGTTGACTACCTCACAGAAGCTTATCGAAAAAGCCAACTCGATACATTTTGTGCCAAACACTCCAAGAAACATTAGAAAGCGTCACACCGTCATTCTAATGTAAAAAAAAAGGGTTTTTGGGTTTTTGGCGGGATTTCATCGAGTGCGGTTGGCGTCTTATTTTAATTATTCTTAAATTCGTTCATTGTGGATATTGTGAAATAAAATTGGTGTGGTTTTGTGTAACAACTGTCTGCGTAACTGAAGAAATAGTGGAATTATTAAAATATACGCTATTCCGGTCAAGTGGACGTGAGAATTTTACTGTAGTGTTGACTACCTCACAGAAGCTTATCGAAAAAGCCAACTTGATACATTTCGTGCCAAACACTCCAAGAAACATTAGAATGCGTCACACCGACATTCTAATGTAAAAACAAAAAGAAGATAAATTTAATTAAAGACCAGGCTGTATAAGCATTGTTCCCCTTGCCTTCCCTAAAACGGGAGAACTTCAACAAAAAAAAAAATCATCGAACATCGACCGACATCTGTCAGACTGACAGAAGCCGAGTGATTTGTTTTTATTTTGAAATTAAAGAAATCCTTGTTGATTTTTGATTGGTAAAGGAAATAGTAAATTGATCGAAATGGAATAGAAAATAGGTTTCGCAACTTTAAATAATCGAAGTTATTGCATCTCGTTGTAACTCAAGAATAAAAGCTGCTTATACTATCTACTCATAAGTTGTCCAAATGAAAGTCCCTTTGATTGAACTTTGATCTAACTGTCGAGTTTATAGATTAATAAAGATAACTAGTAGAAATAAAATGGCAGCCGTTATTCCAGTTATTTCGAAGTTGTCTAATCGTATTATTAGAATTCTTGGATGCAATCCAGGTTCTATGACATTGCAAGGAACTAATACATATTTGATTGGTACTGGAAAGAAGTAAGTAATGTTATTATGCTCAACATCACTGTCGCATCGGTCCTACCAATTTTGTTTTTTATTACAGCCGCATATTAATAGACACAGGTGATAAAGATGTGGAAGAATATCAACAAAACCTAGCACTAGTAGTACAATCTGAACAAGTCAATATTGAGCATATAGTTGTTACTCATTGGCATCACGACCATTTAGGAGGAGTTGAGGATATTTACGGCACTATTGCAAGTAATAAATTTGTACCAACTAAAATACTTATCCATAAATTAATAATATAATGTGATAAATAAATTTTTATTGGCACTTATTCTTTAGCTGTAATAGTGCAATTAATTATGTGTTGTAGTTGCTTCCGTGATGTGTTTTTTATTAAAGTTTACGTTAAAAATATAGAATTAGAATATTGTTAAAAACCAATAGTGGCCAGATTTTTAGTATCCTTTTCATATAACTTAAGACAAATCTCCACCAATATTATGTATATTTCACCACCAACAATATTTTAAGCAGCAGTTATAATCAATTTCGTAAAATTTTTCTAGAACAACCAAAGGTGTGGAAACATAAAAGGGATGAAACTGATGCACCTGACAATGAAATGCCTGCATCAATTCCAACACACTGGCTAACAGACGGTCAAGAGATTAAAGTAGAAGGAGCAACTGTCAAAGTCCACCACACTCCAGGCCATACAACTGACCATGTAGTACTGACTTTACTTGATGAGAACATACTTTTTAGTGGTGATTGTATACTAGGAGAAGGTACTGCCATATTTGAAGATTTGTATACCTATATGAAGAGTCTTCAGAGAATATTAGACCTTAAGCCACGCATTATTTACCCAGGTCATGGTAATATTGTAGAGGTAATATTTGATGCAGTTTTTCATAGTTTATTATTTATAAATTGTCAAGTTTGCATTTTTTTGTGAGTAATAATAATAAGTTAATTTCTATTTACATACTCCAAATATATAAATTCATCTTCAGTTGAAGAAATTGACTTAATTTTAATTTAGATAAATGAAAAAATTATGTCAGGGAATTTTTTATCAGCTGAAAGTGACAGACAAACAAGTCTTCATCTATAGATAGATGGGTTTATGCTATTTATTATCAATTTCCCATTTCAGGATCCAACTCAGAAAATAGAATATTATATTTCTCATAGAAACCAAAGAGAATCACAGATATTGAATGCACTAATGGCAAATCCGGATAAACAGATGACAGAAATGGATCTAGTAAGAATTATTTATACAGAAACTCCCGAACATTTGTGGGCAGCAGCTGCTTATAACGTCAATCATCATCTAGTCAAACTCACAAAGGAAAACAAGATAAAAAATATCAGTGTGAATGGGGAAAACAGGTGGCAAATTAGCTCAGTGTGTAATAGCAATTTATAAAATTTCAAAATTTACTTAGTGGATTAATAAAATAACATTATGTTAGGCATTCTTGCCAGTAACAACAATGCCATTGCAGGATGCAAGTTTATTAACAGTATTTTATGAAATTTTGTTGATTTAATTTATATCAGTTGTAAATAAAAGCAAGCATATTGTTTAAGTATTTTATTGAAAACAGTAATGGATAATTAGTGGAACCATATTTGAGATAGAAAATAATTGAGATGGAAGGTATAAAATAAAGATAAATAAGCTGCCTTATTTATTTAAAATTCAATAATGTGTCAGAATAAATAACAATTGTTCAGGCAAATAATAGGAAGCAATTTTTTGTGAATTATTATAATTACTTAACTTAAAGCATCAACAGCTCAATGATATGACATTCAACTTAATTATGATGATAAATGATGTATATATACTCTTGGTAAACAATAATTTGTCCATTCAACAACTAATAAGATCATATCTTAAAATATAATGGTACTTATCCCAAAAACAATACTTCACATTGACACAGGAAAACATCAATTATTTTGAATTTAAAAATGTCTGGGTAAAATCAGGTACAAATACCATTGGTTTGAGTTTTGAAAGGGCATGCTGGGTTTTTTATTTATATAAAAGTAATGTTAGATATTACTGCATATCTCTAGAGCCTACATAAATCAGTACTGCTTAACTTAGTAATCAAAATATCTTACAAGTAATATTAACATACTCTTAAGCTAAGTAAGCTATCGACGCATGCGCTTCGGGGGAGGCATCATATCTGAATCGTCATGGAATCTGTGATGGTCAATAAAGTCCAATAGAATTTCTTTAGTTACAGGCTCCTTTATACTGTTGCACACAGCTGAAAAAAACAAAGAGAAAAATAAATAATTGTGGTGCACAATCACAATTCGCTGTAGTCAGAATTGGACATTCAAACACGCTGCATGTACACTCAATATAACATATATTCTGTACAGTATTACGTATATTCTGTGTTATAAAGATAAAATGCCTTCGATGCTTTTATAAAGAACACAAATAGTTCAAAATTAAATGCCTTTGCAACACTTCTCATTTATAAAAATGTAAAATATTTTTTTCTGAAAAATCACGATTTGTGGTGAATGGTATTTATGTAATCGCCATTTAGTTATCAAGAACAGGACAACAATACAGCTCAGCCGTTCGCACTCGGAAGCTGATTCGCCGTTTCTCTAGCTCTGCATTGAAGCGTACAGTTCTGTCTCACTTGCTCGATTGAATGTTATTTACAGACATGTGCGTGTTTGAGAGTTGCTTTTGAAGTTGAGTCGGATCATATTTTATTTGATGCTAGTATGAACGTACCGTATCTTCTCTTTTTGTTTTAATCTAAGTTTTAAAAATATAATCTTTACTTACCTACAGCTGTAGTATAACTGTTAGGAAAAGATTTATCCGTCCGCTCTCTCATGAAAACCCATTTGTTGTTCTTAAAAGTGCACTCTATTATCTTGTTGTTAAGGTCTTTTAATTCCTTTGTTACTTTCATAGAGGCGAACGGGAGATCATATTTTCCAACGTAGAGATGTCCTACTTTTGTAGTCAACATTCTGCAAAAAGGGTATATAAATCTTTAATTTACTCATATACAGAATAATTTCCTGCATTTACAAACAAACATTTGAGCAGAGGAGCTCGATGGTGCATCAGTTAAGTTACTTTCGCAATTGCCGGCGCAAGTAACTTGTATACTAACTGGTACGCTTACGCGACCCTCAAAATCGTTCCAAGAGCATAGCTGAATTGGTGGAATCTGTTTCGTTCTAGTAATGTGCCCAAACAGTTGCAAGAGAGGGGCAGATTCCACTTTCATCGTTTGTCGCGCTAGGAGTATTTTCCCCCTTATGAAGGTAGAAACAAAAATGGACTTTGTGTATAACTAGTTAGAGTACATTTTTTGAATTCCCATATTGTTTCGTAGGCATTCCAGTTAGTAAATAAGTTCCTTGGGTCCGCGTGGATTCCTTCCATAGAGAAGGCGATGGATGATTAATAGACTGATAATAATGATTATCTTTTATTGAAACTTTGTTATTTCATTTCGTCGTTTCTTTTGTTATTTGTAGACTACAAACCTTGTTGCCTGAACACAAAGCTGTGTGCCTTACATTTTAAAATATTTTATATGATTTAAGTTTTTTTTGCAAGTAACTGACTTATTAAAAAGAAGTGGACTCGCAATCGCGTTTAAAAAGTGTCGGAACTAAAATTACACAAACGCAGCTTTTGTCTGTAATTTTCAAACAGTCGTGTTTCGTCCGCGTTGTGATTACAACGCCACCAATAACAGTTTTCGTTAAAAAACTAGGCAAATGACAACCAGATCCACACTTATATAAACATTGACCCCCTTATTAATAAAACAAGGAACAAGCTTAGACTAGTTTCGCCGTGTTTTGTTCATGTCACTCTAATCCCATTTGTCGTTCAATAAACAGAGACAAAACATGGAGTAACTAATCCAAGCGTAGTCTTCGTTTATTAATAAAGGGGTGAGTGTCGTATTTCATGTCGTTGCCGCATTTGACAGTTTAGACAGGCGTGCGACCGGCGGTAACATAGAGGTGTAAGAATACAGTGGGGAAGGCGGCTCTAAAAGTGTCCGTCTAGTAGAAAGAGAAAGATGATGACAGACCGCTAGCTATCTCTCTCTTGTGACGCATGACATCCAATGGCATCACATAGAAATAGTAAGATGCTTACGGTTACCAATGCGCATGCACTATTAGAGAGAAGCTAGCGGTCTCTCATCTTCTTTCTCTTTCTATTAGAGGGACACTTCCACTTGTAGTAGAGTCTATATCTCCCCTACTCTATTGTTTTACCTCTATGGGCGGTAAGCTGAGACAAACATTTTTTAATTTCGCGTTGGCGATTGTGCGTGACCCACGCAATGCAGAAAGGAAAAACGAGATAGCGCGAATAATAAAGAATGACAAAAATTTTAGTTGGCTTGAAATATTTTCTTTTATTATAGACAGGCGTTTATCTGAAAAATCTGGCGCTTTGTGTATCCTAGCCAGGCGTCCTCCCTGAAATAGATGGCCAGTGTCCCTTTGTCCCTTCAACCTAACAAAATTATACAACTATCTTGGCGTTTTCTACAGTATTGCTAGTTAATTACAAAAACAAAATATCTGCCCTCGTGTGCGTCACGTGATCGTATATATGTCTCTCGCACCGTAATCGAACACTTTCCCTCTCGTATGTAATTGAATTTGAATCTTATTACCAGGATATAGTGTGTTCAATTGAACAAATGTGTGAATGTTATCTGTTAAAGTTTCCTTGCTAACACAGCGCCACTCGGAAATTTTTTGATGCACTTTTGTTAGGCGATTGGAATTATACTCGTTTTTATACGTCAATGTTGCAAGTGTATCGTTTTTAAACCAATTAACATAAAACAATAAGCACATACCCTTGCCCACCCTCCATAACAATTTTAAGCTTGAAGTCAACACTGTTCATATTGCACGGCTTCCATTTTAACACCTCGTCGCATCTACCAGCTACGTAAGGCTGGAAAACATACCAAATCAGTTAATTAAAAATAGGACACAAAGAAAATACTTTTCTAGAAATCTTAATATTTTCTAGAAAATCCACACAAAGCAAAATCTCTGTAACAAAAAAAGCTACAATTCAGTATTGTAGCATTTTTTCGTAACTCCAGTATTTTTGGAGTTATTTTGAAAAAAACGTTTTTTTTAGAATTTGCGAAAATCGGTTTTCTCTTAAAACTCCATTTTTTTCTAAAATTAAGCATTTTTAATTGGTCCAACTTCTAGGATGTATTGATAATATATATTATTTAAAAATAATCGCTGAAGGGCAATCATCAATTATAGTAAGAAGGGTAATTAGGGGGTAGTTTTCACAAATTTATTTGTATAATAAGGTAGATACCGACCTTATTTTTATCATAGCTCGCTCAATTTTCATGCTAGACACTTAAAAAGGGTTTTTTTTAAAAGATATAATTAAATAATGTCGCCCGGGGCAATTGTAGCCATAGAGCAAATAATTCGTTACCGTTTCGTTTTTAAAATGACGAACATCTGTGGCTCTGTATTGTAACTTTTGCTCTACAGTGCCACACATGTTATTTTTAAAAGCAAAAAGTAACGAGTTATTTGTAACAGCTACATTAGCCCCGGGCGACATTACTTAAAAAAAATATATATATGTTTTCCTCGAAAATGTAGTATTCCCGCTATTTGACATTGAATCTTTCAAACTTAGCATTTGTAGAACAAAAGCTAATTCGCAAGTAGTAGCTCAGTCCGTATTAGTTGCAGTGATACAAAAAGTTATTTTTTAAATTACAATGTTACTACAGTTTTTTTTATAAAATACATATTTATAGAGTTATTCGTGAAAAATCCATTGAAAACGTAATTTTTTCTTTTCGAAAAACTGTTACTTTCAACAGCGAATAACTCGAAAAATATGCATAGAACATTTTTATACTTAGTATTACTTTTGAATCTATTTCTGTAGTTAAAAAGTGATAAAAACCGAAACCGTAAGTGGCAACCTGAGCAAAAATTTGGCCCGCCATAAATTCTGATAGTAAGTGTTGGCATGATAAGGATAAAAAGCTTGCCCATTCCTAGACTAAATCAACTGTATTAAATCGATAAGAAAACGTCATGTCAGTGTCAGTGAAGATGTTTCCTCGTGTATGCGCCAGTACGTCTTTATTTCACTCTTAAGTCTAGCATGAATAGAAATATTTTTTTACTATTTTAAGTATCTCATCTGCCTTCTTAGTCCTAATAAATCCAATAATTCCTTAACAAATTTGCTATAAACAATCTATACTATTACAGAGAAGTAGTTTGTGTTTTGCCGATTTTGAAAATTCTTTTACCAACAGAAAGCCACCTTATTTGTGGGAGTCATAACTATATATTAGAACAAAAACTATTGTCTACACTAGTTAAATATAATATAAAAATACCTACCTCCTTAGACGGTTGAAATATAAGTCCGTCCGGTTCGTGGGACAGTGTTTTGGCAAACTTCTCTCCGAGCAACTGATGAGCCATCGGCAACTCCCAGAACTGTTTCAAACGTATACTGAACGGTTCTTTCTCCTTTTTTATGATGCCTTCCTTCATCGCTTGATGCCTGGTGATTTGACCTTTTATTATATTGGCTCAAAAATTTTCACCTGCCTATAGTATGTCGCATTACTGCCGTATCGTTAAAGCAGGGGGAGGGGGACAGTATTTTTCAAGTATATAGAAATTAATATTTTTTGCAGATCTACAACTCATCTAGTAAGTATAGATAAAGTGGGATGAAATTGATTGGGTGTGTGTATGATTTTATGCTTCACTTGCATCATGGTTTCATAAAATCACACTTTTATTTTTTTTAACATTCTCTCTTTTTAGGGAAGGCAAAGTGAACAATATCCGTATAGCATAGAGTTAAGTTTTTTAATGTTCATTTTTTTACATTACAATGTTGGTGTGTCGCATTTTAATGTTTCTTGGAATGTTTGGCACGAAATGTATAGAGTAAGCTTTTTCAATAAGCTTCTGTGAGGTAGTCTACACTACAATAAAGTTCTCACGTCCACTTGACCGCAATATTTTAAAGATGATTCTTTAGTTGCGCAGGCAGTTCACACAGCAAAATTCAACAAAATCACATCAATTTTATTACACAATATCACTATGAATGAATTTAAGAATAATAAAGATGAAATCGCGCCAAAACTCACTATTTTACTTATTTGTGATATATTTGAGAAAAATACATCGATTAACACCATAGACATAGAGAATGGAAAGAACGACAATGCATGAAATTGACAACCCTCAGAGAGAAAAACAACCTACACATAGATGAAATATGGAGCTCCGATTGCTTTGTCTCTTTCATACTTAATTTTGTTTTACTTGTCTTCTTTTGACATTAGTCAAATAAAAAAGGGATGGAATGAGCGGCAGTATTTCATACAAGCGAAACCAATTTTAGGCACATAAGCAAAAAAGTTTTTGAATTTTGCCTGGATATTATATCTACACGAAACGACAAAGCGATAGCTAAGATGGCCAAAGCGTGAGAAAGATTTTTTTTTCAGATGTTGTCTGCTTGCAATACATATTATGTTCGCTGACACAATGTATTTATTTTGTTCTACTGACCTGGGATTGACGATTTCATTTTCTATACAGTTGAGTCTAACGGGGAAAAACGCCATCTTGCCCACATCTTGACCTTCGAATTTTATTATATCATAACATAAATATCTTGGTATTTCTTTATCGCCTACTTTATCTATTACCATTTCCTAAAAAATAAATCAAATAAGTTAAGTAAGAATTGTAAAGAAAGAGTTTTTTTTCTAGTCAAATAGAAAATGGCTATATCGAATTTCATTTAATATTTATTTGGCTGCATTTTTTTAAATACCATCGGATTATAATATCACAAAATCCGACTGCAGCGCCACCTGTGGGGACAGTGTAAGCCAATTTTTTTAAATTTTCAAAAATTTTAATGAATAATTTTGGCAATGAAAATGCGAAAGATGAGTGTCCAAACATTTATGAACTTTTTTTACAGCAGTTTTACCTGCCACACCAGCCACCTTCACCCTACATTTTTTTTTTGAGTATGTTGGTCGCAGATGATCTTTCAGCGTCACCGGGTTTGGGGACGGCGAGATCCTAAGGGGACCTCAAGCCGAGAATTGGCGAGTGCCTCTAGAGGTATTCCAGGTAGATGGCATCTCCCCACGGGGGGAGTCTCCTCTCCGTCTGGAGCCTCTAGACCACTCGAACCTGAGGGGGTCGGCTCAACTAGAGGGCGTCTCTGAGACTCGGACCTCGGCTCTAGACAGCCGTTGTCGTGGGGGGAGATATTGCGTTACGCATACCCCGACGCTATGTTTATGTGGCGACGAGGTTATGTGGGACTCTTCCTGATCTTCCTCCTACCTCCCGCCCACCCTTGCAGCCAACCCTAAGGCTGGCTCAATGGCTATGCCTTACCCACTAAAACTCCGAGATTTGCCCTCTCCTTGCCGGTGTCGACGACGTGGGTTTCTTGTTGGGAATCAACCTATTAAACATTTTGAAAAGTTTCGAGTAAAATATAATAGGTAAGGAAGTCAATTGCTCGCACTTTGGTCGCTTTGCGGCTAGCTATATTTGATCTAGGGGGGGAGGGGGGGGGCAGCTGAAAATACAATTTTGGGCCAAAAGCCCACTGTAAGTAGGTATGTCATTCGGTTTTATACAGTTCCTGTAAAATTTAATTTTCTGTAATTATACCGTTTTGTTCGACAGGTCCACATTTGTTCTTTCGCTCGCAGTTAGACAAACAACTAAACAAAATAGGTATTAAAATAAATTATTGAAACTTACGCCATCTAAAAGAGTATTCTTTAAATGCTTTCTAAGATCTTTTCTATGTAGGAATTTTAAGCCAAAAACTTTGAAAACGCAGTTGTCTCTGTCCAACATGTACACCTCTCCTTCACCGTCGATGAGCATCATGTATCTGAAATTAAAAAATATTATTTCCAACCGATGAGCACGATGGCGCGGGTGGTTAGCGCGTTATGCTACGATCGTTAAAGTTAAGCAACTTTCGCATCGCAGTGGTCGGTCATTGGAGGGGTGACCAAAAATCTCCTATCTCGACCTCCGTGGCCGAGTGGTTTGTACGCCGGGTTTCATGGCGTCGCCGACTCGAGAGGTCCCGAGTTCGAATCCCGGTGGGGGCAGATGTTTGTGTGATGAATACGAGCATTTGTACTCCAGTCTTGGATGTTTCATATGCATTTCTATTTAAATATGCTTATATATGTACAGTATATGTATTCTATCCGTTACCCTAGTATCCCATAACACAAGCCTTACAGTGCTTACTTTGGGGCTAGGCTGATTGGTGTGAGCGTTGGAAATATTTATTTTATTTATTTATCTCGAGTTCCTCCGTGCTTCGGAAGGCACGTTAGTCTATAGTAATAACAACGACCCATTGTAAGAACCTGGGCCGGGCGATAAGAAACCAAACACACATTTACAATATAATTATAATTCTCTCACCAGCCGACCCCCGCCAACCAACGAGTCCCCCAACCAGCCGCGGGTACAAACGGAACCAGAAACGGAACTAAAATTCTGTCACTAGCTATCACAGTGCATCAGATAGGCATCAATTCGGAAGTTATTGCCCTCTTAAAAGCTGTCTTAGAGAGTAAAAAAATATCATATTCACTAAAGTGGATGTTATATGTCATAGAAAGCCGTGCCAGTGGGCTGTTTTTAGCATAGTTTGTGGAACACGGCGGAAACTTAAACATACACGACTGGAGTACAAATGCTCGTATTCTTCAGACAATCATCTAATAGGGTATTTGACAGTATTAAAAATAAAGTGCCAATTGTTAGCATAGGTGTTTAGATTGAATTGGCAGGGGTTTTTACTATTTACCCAAAAACAATATTCATAATTTTACTAAAAACCCTCGAAAAAGATATTAGTTTTCTTATCTATTGTCACATGACCCAAAACGCTAGGGATTGACGGAGCCTAAAATGACGTCACACGCAAGTAAACTTCGGGTTAAAGTGACATTACATTGTATCGTTTGACGTTTTAATAACAGTCGTGTGACGTCACACACTAGTAAAACGCCATATTGTCCAGAGAAACGTTTTCGCGGCAACATATAAATGGAGTTTTTGATTTGGTTATTTTTACTGAAATACACAACAGAATGATGAATATCCACTTTTTACGGACTCCATAAACATTAGTCACTAACGTGAGATCGTTGCCCAAAACTTGTCAAATACCCTATTCGAATCCGGGACCTCTCGAGTCGGCGACACTATGAAACTAGGCGTATAAAGCACTCAGCCACGGAGGTCGTCAAAACACATACTTTATTTATATTACTCTGAGGGTGCCCGATATATGGATAAATGAACTTACCTAACACCGTCAGCTTTCCACGACACCCTGTACGGTTTGTGGTGCAACTTCTTCAAGTTGGCCACATTCATTGACACAGGCTGTGAGCCCGGGAATCCTGTGGTTTCCCATTCGCAATATTCCTGTGTTTTCTTCTGGACCTCGTGGAGTCGCGGCTGCGTGTCGAAGGGGATAACACCCCGAACACCGGGCATAAATGAAGCTTTCTTATGGGTAGTTTCCCGTCTACCCTTTTTGTGTTTGTGACTGTAGACAGGAAAATTGTTTGATAGAACTCTTTTTAAATGGCTATGAAATTTTATTTTTATAATTTTTATTTTTAAGCATGTAACTGCTCGATGTTTAAATGTAAAGAAAATATAACTAGAAAAAAATCCCTGCGGACCAGGCAGCAGACGGCACTCGAACCCGCACCCTTCGCTATCCGGGCGAATGCACTGACCAATTATGCTACCGCGGCCCTGACGGCCGTGTCAAGTCCTGTTTAAGGCCGTGAATACCTTGACAAGTATTGAACATTTGAAAGAAGAAATATTTTTTTTTTTATTATTATTATCGATGGTTTGGATGCCTGGTCTATAAGTTGCTTATCAATACCCATACAAAACAGTTTTGTATAAAAACTATATGACCCAGCAAACTTCGTATCGCCATAAAAATATAATTTTCAAAATTGTCATCCTTCTACCAAGAAGGATGATAATTTTGAGTTTTATGTAATGTTTTTGTGCCAAATTATAAAAAAAAAATCTTGCCCACAAAATTAAAATAAAAATTTGGGGTGGACCACCCCTTCTGCTCATATTGTATGTGATTAATGATCAAATGGGACCATCAGAGGCTATTATAGAATTTGGCATAATGACCTAGGGGTATGAAAAATAGTTAACGTCCTATTGTTAGACCTACTAAATATAAACAGAAAATTTTATAAGAATCTGTCAAGCTTCAGAGGAGTTGGAGGAGTTTAGTTACAAACACTGTGACACGAGAATTACGAGGACTATTTATCATTATTATATTCATTATCTCTTTGTAATATATTGTAATGTATTCCATAACACTATCCACTGAAAAACATGTCCATATTTATCTTCAAAGTGATATTATCATTTCATAATTTAATAAATACATGTTTACAGAAAATAAAATTACAAACCCTGATGATCCTTGAGATGAATTGCTTTCGCCTTGTGAGTTACTCGGTCTGTCATCATCATCATCATAGTCTATTTCTTCTTCTTCTGAAATAAGCACCATAATCAAATACATTTACTTAATTCTTCAGTAGTGTGTCTAGTTCTGATTAAATTTTTTAATGATTACATATGAAATTTAATTAATTAAGTGCAAGTCGGACTCGAAGGGTACCATACCATTATCTATACAACATTAAACACTGTTATATTATAGAATGGTGTCGATTCTGGCATGATCCTCTAAACCTAAACTTAAATTTGACAACAGTGTATCCCTGTCATTCTCTATACAGATTGAAAAGGAGAGTTAGTTTTAAGTTTAGAGAATCATGTCAGAATCGACACCAATATTGCGCAAAAAAGGGTCAATAATCAAGTGTATGTGTGTTATATGGGAGCACCCCTTAAACATATATTTAATTATTTATTTTTAAAGTAAATATTCAACTAAACATTCTGTGTTTATTTCAAGTGTCTACATGTTGCCGTTATTAATATATACAAAAAAAAAACACATTTGTTGTATGTGAGCCCCCCTTAAATATTCATTTTATTCTGCTTTTAGTATATGTTGTTATAGTGCCAAAAGAAATACACCATCTGTGAAAACTTTAACTGTCTAGCTATTACTGTGCAAGAGATACGGCCTGGTGACAGACAGATGGACAGACAATCCGACAGCGGAGTCTTAGTAATAGGGTCCCGTTTTTACCCTTTGGGTAGGTTTATTAGGGAAATTTTCCCGCAGTAAAAAGTAACCTAAATGTAAATTTAGGGTCTCAGCTAACTATAACAAATTTTATTAAAATCGCTCCAGCCATTTAGAGGTGAAAAATTACCAAACATACAAACTTTCGCCCTTATTTATATGAGTGTGATAACTTATCAATAAAAGCATTTTTTTAGTATTTGTCATTATAGATACCAAGCATAGTGAAAATTTCAGTTCCTATGTGTTATGGTTCATAAGATACAGCCCTCTCTGACAAACTTTCAATTCAAATTATATTGATTTTTTCACTAGGCTAGGAATGGTCTGACAGCAGAGACATAGCAATAGAGTTCTGTAGTCAATTTAATTCAGCTACAGTTATTATTAAATTTGTCTTTACCATTACACCAATCTGGTCTCAATGGAGCAGCAGGTGTAAATTCAGCATCATCATATCTCCTGTACAACTCCTCTAAATAATCCTGCTTGTATATTCCTGGTGGTCTGAAACAGTCATATGTTCTTTTGAATGCATATCGCTATTGATTTGCTTTAAGCTTATATTTACTTTTAAATAAAAGCAGCTACAAATAATTAGCTGATATCCTAGGAAATGTTGCCATTTTAAAACAAAAAGGGAAGATACGGCACTCGCTGCTCAAAAGTGATTCGATGCTTTTATAAAGAACACAAATAGTTCAAAATCAAATAACAAATGCCTCGGCAACACTTCTCATTCTTAAAACTGTAAAATCACTTTTTTCTCAAATATCACGGTTTGTCATGAAAGTTATTTAAGTAATCGCCATTTTCTTATCAAGAAAAGGACAATAATACAGCTCTGCCGTTCGCACCCCGAAGCTGATTCGCCATTTCGCTCACTCTGCGTTGAAGCGTACAGTTCTGTCTCACTCGCTCGATTGAATGTTATTTAAAGGCGTGTGCGTGTGTGAGAGTTGCTTATGTAGTTGAGTCGGATCATATGTATTTTATTTGATGCTAGTATGAGCATACCCTATCTTCCCTTTTTGTTTTAATCTAAGTTATTACAGCATAGTGTCTATTATCAACAAGAAATAATTATTTTATATTATATCCTAACTTCAATATATTTTCCTCATTCTTTCTTTTTTATTGTATTATGAAAGTATAAATAGGAAATTACCTCAATCTTGCAAATTCACTTAATGCTGCTTCCACACTGCAATCCAATTGTTCCACCATGTATGAAACTAGCAGGAAACCAGTTCTGTTGAACCCATGTGTGCAATGGACTCCTATTACTTCTAAAGGATTTTTGCTTAAAAATCTACTTACAAGCTCGATAAACAACCTGGAACACATGCAAATCAATATAGTCATTTATACACAGTTCAACACAAATTTTGAATAAATAAATCAGCAGTTTTAAAAGAAATTGCTCTGCATGTTCAAAGTTAAACAATATTTGTAATATCACCTGCAAAGTTCGAATTCCTTCTAACTAACACACATACAACACATCTTACAAAAAAAGAAAAAAAAATTGATTACACAACTAACATTTATGTTAATTTTCCTTTTTTATAAGGGATAATTCACTTTATTTAATTAAATGTTATTTCTATAGTATTTTCATATTATTTACCATTAGAAATCAAATTATTGATTCCATTAAAACATGAAAAAATAGACAAAAGTTATAGATATAAAAAAGCAAATTTCTCAAAAAATTTAAACTAATGGTACTTCGCTGTCAATATGCAATTGTTAAATCTTTAATTAAAATTATGAATTTACATTTGCATGTAACCATTAAAATGAATGATTTTTTGTTTCCCTTCCCTATTTATGTATCACAATATTTAAAAATCCAGAAGTGTTTACTTTGTTTGGTCAGCAGATGGTGTTTCTCCATGGCCTCTACATTGCATCTTCACATACTTGCAGCCCATATCCTCAATTTCTTGTTTATTGTAAAATCGGCTGGTATTAGTAAGATCTACCCATAGTCCCAGTTTCACCTGCAAGTGTGCTATTACTTGTTCATATATCTATACTTGCAATTTCAATCGACGTAAAGCACAAAACCCGACTTGTCAGGAGAGCCAAAATAAGTTTTATTTTAAATTACTTAAATTCATTACGCTTTTGCTTTTAAATTTATACATTTAAATATATATACCAAAAATCTTGAGATGCAGATGATGAAATATTTAGTTTTTAGTAAAGTTTGTTATTTTAGAATACAGATATGCGTTACATCTAAAAAAAAATCACTAAAATGTTCTTTACATAGATTTTTTTATGATGTTCAGATGCATGTAAGGAGTAAAGCTCAATTTAAAAAAAAATCTCTATGTCCCAAAAATAAATTTTAACGAGTATATATGGACATATTACCCAGATGTAAAGCTAATAGAAAAAATATATAATGTTATACATATTTTAAATTAGACTTAAATTTATTTGTTGATTAGGTGGTGAAGCATACATAGCCTACAAGTCATTTTAAATAGCATGTGTTATTAAGGGCTTAAAATAGATAAATAACAAGTAAAAGGAATAAATCGTCATTTTTAACCGACTTCAAAAAAGGAGGAGGTTCTGTGTTCAACTGTATATTTGTTTTTTTTAGTTTTAGTTTAGTATATGTATTATGTTTACAGAGTGATTTTTAGTTTTAGTAAGTTTAAGTATAGTATATGTATTATGTTTACAGAGTGATTAAAAACTTTGATATAAATCACATTTAGCTTTATTTATAGAAAATGGTTGGGCTGTTATAAACAATATAAAATTATGTCATTCTATAAGTTACATTTTAAATATGTCTAAAATCATTATTAATTGAAAAAGGAAAAAAACGAAGTAAGATGGCATTCATAGCTCATTTTAGATAAAATGTATTTTACGTCAATTAAAAAGGTTTCGAATTTTGTATTCTACTGTGCTAACAAAGATAAAAGGACATTGATGTCACGAAATATCTTATTCAGTAATTTAAAAGGAGTAGAACATATTATATCCTCCACTTAATGATTCCTCCGTTTACTTGAATTAAGTTCATCTTAACAGAGGGTGAGAACATGTTAGATTTTTATTGGTTCAATATGTGGATAGAATAGTGTTACTGAAGTAATAGGAAGCTTATTACAATTATTTATTACCTAACTAACTGAGTTATTTTGTTACTTTACTGAACAACTATAGTCCAAATAAAAACAGCTGACGAATACAAAACAAGATACGTACCTTCAGAGCTTTCATATAGACAAATAGCATAGAAGGTGTGAAACGGTTTTCCTCTGGTACTTTATCATTGAATTGGGAACCCAAAGGAGTTTTAAAAGCCAGGAATTTCCCTGCTACCAATCCAGTTGCTTTTCGTGGGCATTTCAGCCACCTATTTGGAATAGGTCCGGAGTCTCTGTGCGACATAGTGTCTAACAGTCGCCGAGGTGGTTTGGTATTTAAATTTTAAACTAAATATAAATAAAACAATATACAGGACAAATTAAGATTCACATGCACATTTTCGTTTCCATTACTTATCAAAGGGAAAGAGAATGGAGTTTTTGCGTTAGACACTGACAGACATTCAGTTTTAGATCACAACACAAGAAAAGACAAGAATGAGACTCACTGAATGAGACAGAGAAACAAACTTACTTTCTCTATGGACATTCAACAAAACTTTTTTTTAATTTAGAAAAACGGCTTTGGTCATTTGGAGTATTGGAGTTCACTGACAGGTCTAGAGTTGCGCAATAGTATAAATAATCGACAGCCTATCGATTTTTTTTTTTAAACTCATAGTTTTTCAGTTATTTATGAAAACCGCTTTAAAACATGTATTTTTATCAAGAAAAATCACAATCGTTTTTTTTTTTTACTCAGAAAGTGTTGACTTATTTCAAAAATTTTATATAACAAATTTTGCTTAGATTTTATCTCTCTATCGATTCCTGGTGTTATTTTTATTAAAATAATTTTCGCTCCCGAAAAGGGGTGGCACCCCCAGGGCAAAAGCGCAAGTTGACACTTTGTCACTTTTGTTTCTTATAGTATTTCCTATCTACTCATCGATTTTCATGAAAATTGGATGGAGGTTCAACGAAATTGGAGGTTGTAGCTGATTTTTACTTTCATTGACTGGATTTAATAATAATATTTGTATTATTCATTGTTTTCGAGAATGCTGATTACGAATACGACTGTAAGTTTGTGATTCAAGCTGGCGAAATCTACGTTTTACTCGACTGCGGAGGGTAACGTTTTTCGAGTGTATGTATGTATCTCCGTTTCTTTGGTACGCCCTACAGCCAGAATGACTTGACTTGCGAGGTATCATTTAATTTGTCGTGATTTTGTAAGTAAAACTTTGTATATTCAAATTGAAAAATCAGTCTTTTAAAACCCTTCACTTTAATAGCCCATTTTATTTAAAAACTTGTTTCATGCGTCAAATATTGCTGATATTTGGTAGAAAAATGAAACATCTTGAAAAACAGTTTGCTTATAACCTTTCTAGCGAGGTATTAAAGAGAAAGGTTTTAAAACGAAATTCAGAAAATACAAATAAAATTATACAAATTATATGCAGTAGTAGTCATATCTTATGAATAAAGAAAGTATAACTTCAACGTACAAATGTTCATAAAAATATACACATTCAAAAAAAACATGCAATAATATAGCCACTCTAATAAAAAACTTATTAAATGCATAAAATATAAAAAATATCCTTCTTTTAATTACAAAATGAGTCTTGCACATGTAGGAGTTTATTTTCTGTTACTGGACGCTTGGACGCCCAATTAGAAACATTTAAAAAAAGCATCAACAGCGCATTCTTTTTTTTTTAAATTGGAGAATAACATTGCTTTCTTGGCTTTTTCTATTAGTTTGGCGACAATTCAAAATGTAATCTGAATTTTATTTTGTTCAAAATGAGCAAAAATAAAAGTTGTGACCCGTCAACTAGGCAAATAATTGTTAACTTATATATAGATCGTAAGTGGGCGTACAGAAGAATAGCTGAACATTTAAATAGGCTAGTTTACTCATGTCGAATTGTATTAAATAAATGTTTATTTCTTAAAGTGTTTAGTCTAAGGAACCTTAATATATCGATTTCACTTCATAAAAGCAGAAGATTGCTGTAGAAATTTAATTTTAAAAAATATTTTTTAGTCTATATTTTTTAAACACTAAAAACGCTGTTCGCCACATTCGCCATGATTTTGACGTCTCATGTGGTAAACAACTAAATGTCATTCGCGTGTTACTGTAGGTGGATTCTTTCGTCTGACTAAATTTGTCTTAAAACACTTTTATCTTTAGGAAAGAAAAAAACAGTAAACTTAGTTTTTTTTGACTAAACAAATTATGGATGCCGGCTTTGTGAAAGCAGAAATCACAAATCTGCCAAGAATTGACGCATTGATGGTTGGTGAATTTGTTGCACTAAACCCCGATTTCTGCTCTGTGGAGCAGAGAAACGACAAGGCATCTATGTAAGTACAGTGCATTTAGTATTACAATACAATGTAGTAATAAACATAAAACTGATACAACATATGAATAAGTGTAATAAAGTTGCGTAGGTTAATTTCTTTCGGCACTTTAATCCACAACTTTCCTGGAGTCTTCAAGGATGTGTTTTTATATTCTCGTACAATATAGTAATGATAATTACTTTATTTTTCGTGGTATTTATAAGAAATCATGTTTTTTTTTATTATTAACTCAGTTATAAGTAATTTTCTACGTGTTTACGAGTTTTTGTTTACAACAGTTCACGTCATAGCATAGACAATCTATAGACTAAAATGGCCGACAGCGTTTTTGTATGTCCATGAAAAGTCTATTTTAAAATTAAAGATTTGTAGCTTTCTAGGTTTAAAAAAAATACAATACATTTTTTTTCGGTCTAATAAAACATTTATTAACCATTTAAAACCTTTTTCCAAAATGGGTCAACTAGCCTATTGTTCTGTTAAAAATGTTTTTAATGCAATTGATCATTATCAAACACATGGAACTGTTGAAAATGTTCTTAGAAAGGCTCAGCCAAGAAAAACTTCTCCCAGAGAAGATACGCTAATCATTCGTGTTGCTAAAAAAGATCCAAGCAACGGCTCCAACCAGATTTAAAATGAAGTTTTTTCGTCTGATGACCCGAGAAACATTTCGTCCTGTCTGATACGCCGAAAGTTAGTGGAAGCTAAATTGTTTGGAAGAATTTCTCGAAGGGTACCGCTTCTTACCAAGGAACACCGAGAGAATCGATTATTATTCGGTAAAAAAATATGTTAATTGGACGATACGAGAACGGAAAAAAGTGTTATTTTCAGCTGAAACAAACATAAATAATTCGTGCATTAACCCGTAAAAACTAGTTTTATTTAATGAGTGATGTGTGTGAAAACCTAAGAAACAAAAAAAAAATATAGTAAATTCCGATGGAAAGCGCTATGTTACACGTCCTGTAAACAATGCTTTTAATTATAAATATACAATGAGTATAGTCAAGCACGGTGACGTTAACAATAAAGTTTGGGGGTGTTTTTCCGGATGTGGAGTTGGATCCATTTGGAAGATTGAAGGTACAATGGATCAATGGCAATACAAAATATCTTAGAGCACACAATGATTCCCTGCTCGGATGATCATTTGCCTGTAACCTGGATCTTCCAGCATGACAATAACCCTAAACACATGGCCAATAGTGTCAAATGTTTCATAGCGAACAGCGTATATTCGTTTAAGACTGGCCCGCAAATAGTCCGGATTTAAACCCAATAGAAAATCTCTGGTATATTGTTAAAAAGAAGGTGAGACCTTCTTAGACAAACGTAACACCAGTCAAAACGAACTATATGAAGCTTTTGTTGAAGCATGGAATTAAATCCCCATAGAATGTACTAAGCTTATTATCACTGACTAAACATCTTTCTTACCATGCTGTTACAAATAAAATTTATTTCTTTCTTTCTTATGAGTATTTATCGAATTTATAGTTTTTCTATTTAAAATCCATTTAAATCTAATTACGAATACAACACTTTTCTCGAGATCCAAGAATATTATGTTTCAGATTTTGGGACTATGCAGTCCTAATGGAACTGTAGTCACGGCAACTTAAAAATTCGATTTTGTGACTCGCCGACACCTTAAAGTACTTATCTGTTTTAGCCAAACAGCTTCCATGAAACTTCAAGTTTCGTGAAATTGAATGTCCTCAAGTTGTATTGAATGTCGGCCTAGATTGATAGTAATTACTTACCACTGTTGTGGATTACAATAAAATACGCTACTACATATAAAAGAAACTGTGTTTTAAAGCATACAACACTAAGAAGTTATGACAAAAACAATTATTTGATTTATCTAAAAACTCTAAAATTCCCTTTAGCACAGAACCTTAATATTATTAGTTTGAATCCCCTGGACTAAAGAGAAATTCGAATTGCAACATCCATGAACAAACGTTCGTGAGTATTTCGTAAACGTAATTTTTTTCACGACACGATAATAATCACTGTGTGACTACATAAAATCTAGGCTCGTGTGATGGCCTTTTGGCGGAGGGGTTCGCCCGTCCATGCCCTCTCCAGTCGTAAATGCTCTAAGTATGAAACCGATCGCGTCACAACACAATACGACAGTGGTGTCGATTCTGGCATGATTATCTAACATGTGTTACACCTTTTCATTTTGTATACAAAATAACATCAGTGTGATGTCAAATTTAAGTTTTCGTTTAGAGAATCACGGCAGAATCGACACACATTTCACCATTTTTATGCCGACACTTCATTTAGGTTTTGTGTTTGCAATTTGTTAGCTGGAGTTCGGTCTGTCCTTTAAAGCAACAGACTGACAACTTTACAATCAAGTGCCGGCATTATACCATGGATAAACCTATTTTTGGCTGTTAACAGTAGTAACAACCGATAAATAAAAATAAGTGTATTCTATTTCTTTCTATCTTGTAGAGTTTGAAAGAAATCACTGCATTTGTAGTGTCCTGCCGTTGGCAGCACTGTTTTTCGTATTTGCTAAGAGCCTGCCATTTTGTAAGATAGAAGGGAGATAAAAAATAGTTTTATGGTGTTAAAATTCAACAAAAACGTAATCGCCATTTGTGTTAGGGCTCAAAACAAATGTTTAAATGGACGCATCGTCCATTATAACTCAGGTGTCACGGGATGACGAACAATTAAACAATTATGGATCCGACAGAGGTAAATCTAAACCGAATTACACCTGTTACCTACCTAGCATCAAATTGGAGCGTATTATGTTACCTTTTCAGTATTCTTAAACTATTGAGGGCCGTGTGGTGTGTAGAAACTAGTGCTTTATTGAAGTTCTACATATTATGTATTGCGTTTCACGAGCGGAGTTTGAAGTAAACAGTTGGAACGTGTGAACGCGTTTACATTCTTGGGAGCAACCTTGAAGGCTTGTCTTTCCATGGCTCAGACCCACTTAATGTCAATTTTGTATAATTTGTGGTCAAAGTGTTTGTTGTGATTAATATTTCAAATGGTTGTTTTAGGGTCATCCCCTGCCGGGCAAAATAATGAGGGGGATGGAACACCTGTATCAGGATCTACCCCTTTGGGAAGTAAGAAATCTAGTGGAAGCGGTGGTTTCCTTCGATCATTACTATGCTGCTGGCGGGGCGGGCGTGGAAAGGGTCCTCCTGGAGGAAATGGAACGAACAGTATTGATGGCAGGGCCTCGCCACCACTCCTGGTTATGGCAGAGCATGCCGCCAGACCCTTGTTACCGCCAGTGAGACATCAAGACATCCATAAAAAGTGTATGGTTATTGACCTCGATGAAACTTTAGTCCACAGCTCCTTTAAGGTAAGTGACATTTCTTACGAGTAACAAAATGTATTGATAAAGCTTTGAAAATAAATCATTGAACTATTACCGAAGTATTTTACAAATATAATAATAGTTTAATACAAATATATACTTGTAATATACTAATTTATAAATTCATGTGGGCTTTGTATCATCAAACTCTTCTGATGTAAACACTTATACTGTGAATGTTTGCATGGCTAACATATCCAAAATGTGGCTTTATTATTTATTAAAGAATAGAAATTCATAGTGGAAACATTGATTGGAATACAAAATTTACTATTGCTAAACTTTTGTTGGTATTATGTTATATTCACAATCATTTTCTGATACTTTAACTAAATTAGGCCTAAATTATTAAACTAAATGGGCCCTTGATACAGCAAGATTAAGAATTTAGTGACAATATTGGTGGCAGTAAATACGTTATTGACTGATATTTTCATTTATGACAAAAAGTTAAACTTTATAAAAGTATTGAAGACAATTCCTAATGAAGACCTTTTCTAATTAAGAGAAAGAAGTCTCATACATAAATCTTTAAGTATATTTTTAGATTTATATTGCCATTCATGTTTTCCATTTTTTTCAAAGGTTGAGTATGCATTTAGCATGAAGTCCTCCGTTTTTACCATTATTATCTATTTTGGTCAATAAAATTTAAAGATAAACAAATAAATAAATAACAGCCTCCTTATAGTTTATTGAATCTCAAGTAGAAATTATAGACTTTCGGGGGTAGGTGTGAAAAAGTTAAGCTGTGTCTTGAAATTGTAAAATTCTATTTAATTATTAAAAGTCATTTAAAAACACTGATTTTATATTTATTTGAAGAATAAGGAAGTAAAACAACATAACTTACGTTTGCATCATCTTTTATGTAACATTTGCGTACATTTTACACCACCTGCCAGCACATCATACAATCAAGATTTAGCACATCCTTTAAATCAAGAAACACTATAAATTACACTATGCCTCAACTCACTGAAATTATTTCTGCACAAAAGAGCTTGGAGGAATGCTTTATGAAGAAAATGCAGGATCTCGAAGGTCAGATTCAAGGTGCGGGTTCTGGTAAAGAGACAGTGGCAAGGGTAGCTGAGGAGTTCCGGACCTTCAGGGAACTTATATTCAGCATGTTGGGGCTGCTTCGCAAGCAAATTTGTGAGTGCGCCACACAAATAGATGCCATCGAAACTAGACACCGTCGAAAGGGCTTGATTTTTTTGGGTGTTCCGGAGTCTGACGCTGAAGACTGTAAGGCTGTAGTGTGTGGCATTCTTTCAACGAAAATGAGGCTCAAAGACGTCACCAAAGCCTCTTTGTCAGTTTGCCATAGGCTCGGAGCTACCGGTAATAATGACAACAATAAGCAACGGCCGGTTCTGGTTAAATTTTCACTATATGAGTTAAAAGCTGCAGTCTGGAAGGCCAAGAAGAACTTGAAGGGCACCAACATCACAGTCAAGGAGTTCCTTACTAAATCCAGGCAAACTGTCTTTAACAACGCTAGGCTGCATTTCGGTGTTCGGTCTTGCTGGACTCAGGATGGCGTTATTCACATAAAATCATCTGATGGTATACGCCACAAAGTCATACATAAAGAAGATCTGGACTCCTTGGTTGGCAAATATCCAAAGGCGCCGATGACTGGTGGGCGAGCGGGTACTGCAAATGAAAATAAGTAACTCCATTACACTTGTAAGAAATTAGCTTTTTTCATGATTAATCTTAACATTTAGCTGTTGCTTTTTTTTATAAAAACATCTATTCACTTTTACTAACCTTTGTTATCTCATTGAGTTAAAATTTCTTCTATTCTGTTGTTTGCTTTGCTTGTTTTCTGCATAGACCGCATACTGCTAGTATGTACACAAAATCAAATATTTTTCTTGACTGGCTTTTTGCTTTTGCTCTTTTGTAGTAATCTGTTTTGTTTTTCTTTCAAAGGTAGGTACCTAATACTTAACTATTTCATTGATTACGCTCAAGCTTCAAACACAGAGACTTGTCATTGTCAATCTCAATGTAAGAATTTTCCTTTTTTTCACTATGTATAACAAGGCAAAGGTACCTTTGTATAAACAGCCTCATTCATATTTATATTTTTTTTTGTCATTAAATTAAAAATTGTTCGTGTTCAATTTTAAACACAACTCTAATGTATATGTTATTGTACTTATATTATTTTTGTGTTGATTTGCTCATTTAGCTGCTTTTATTATGTGCTTATTTTAGTTTTTTCTTTTCAATGTAACTCAATATTGTAAGCTGGCGGGTGGTGTGGAGATATTGGTGCTTATTATTATTTAGCATTCATTCCTTCACATTTTGTATATTTATATATATATATATTATAGTTATTTTTATTTATATTTACGCATATTATGATATTTGACGACAACTTTTTTTCTGCTGATGACGAATCTGCAGATTCTTCTAATAACGCAAGCTTTTGTTCCGCTACTGGCACGCTTGGTGACTTTTTAGGCCAATCTTTTGATCAATCTCCATATCTTTTGAACATCTGTCACATCAATTCCCAAAGTTTACCCAGCCATTATAATGAATTCCTTCATGTGTTCTCTGGGCAAAATATACACGCTGTCCTAATTTCTGAATCTTGGCTAAAACCACATCTTCAATCTTCCGCATATTCTCTCCCTGGTTTTACCCTCATTCGGAACGATCGTTGTGGCCGGGGTGGAGGAGGTGTAGCTATCTACCTACGTAGTACATTTGTGTACAAACTTATAGCTTCCTCCAACTCTGACTCCAACTCGGAATATCTTTTTCTGGAGATTGGGACAGGCCGTGCTAAAGTAGTCGTTGGTGTTGTTTATTGCCCCCCCACAGTTGATTATTTCACCGAACTCGAAGCGGTTTTAGAATCTTTGGGATCTGAGTATGCACATTTGATCATCATGGGCGATTTTAATACCAATCTCCTATCTCCCGAATCCCCACGGTCCCGAAAACTCCTTCACATTGTCCAGTCCGCAAGCCTACATGTTTTGCCCCTTCAACCAACTCACCTAAATACTTACGGTGATGATACATGGCTTGATTTAATCCTAACCTCTAATCCTTCCCTTGTTCCATCCCATGGTCAACATATCGCTCCTGGCTTCTCTCATCATGACCTCATCTTCCTTTCGTATCTCTTTAAACCCCCCAAATCCACTCCCAAGGTTTTGCACAGGCGCTCCTACGCACGTATGGACTTAGTTAAACTGCAGAAGCATGTCTCTGAGATCAACTGGGACTCTCTGATTCTAGCTTTCACTGTTGATGACAAAGTAAAAATATTTAATGACACTCTGCTTAGAATTTACGATGTCCATGCGCCCATCAGAAAAGTCAGGCTGAAGCGGCAACCAGCCCCTTGGATGACTGAAGGTGTTCAGATGGCGATGAGGCGTAGGGACCGTACATATCGCAGCTACAGAAGGGATCGTTCTGATGAAAAGAGGAAGCTTTACAAGGCTGCTAGAAATCGTTGTAATCAGATGATACGTAATGCCAAACGCCGACACATTCTCAACAACCTTTCTTCTTCATCTTCTGCTGATATCTGGAAGTTCCTCGGAACGCTAGGTATCGGCAAATCGCGACATTTAGACCTGTCTAATTCTATAAACCTTAACGATCTCAATCGACATTTCACAACCTCTCAGAAATTGGATCGTTCATCTACAGCATCCACCGTTGCTTCTATAAATGGTTTAACGCGCCCTAATGTTGACCCTTTCTATTTTTCACCAGTCACACCGGCAGAGATCAAAAAGATAATACTTTCAATTAAATCCAATGCAACGGGATGTGATGATATTAGCCGTCGCATGATCGTCACTATTCTTGAATATCTTCTTCCCGCTATAACACACATTATCAATTTCTCCCTTGACACTGGTACTTTCCCTATTCTATGGCGTAAAGCCTATCTCCGGCCTCTTCCCAAAGTTAATAATCCAACGCAGCCTAATCAGTTTCGACCAATTTCCATCCTCCCCTTCATGTCAAAAGTGCTAGAAGCATGCGTTCACAAGCAATTCTCCCAATTTATTCATAAAAACTCTCTAATGAACCCTCTCCAATCTGGATTTAGGCCTGGACATAGCACTATTTCCGCCCTCCTGAAAGTAACTGGCGATGTTAAGGCGGGGATGGAGAACGGTAAAGTTACTTGCTTGGTTCTTATCGATTTTTCAAACGCTTTTAATACTGTCAGTCACGATATTCTCCTTTCCATATTATCCTATCTTATGGTCTCTGCCGAAGTGTTGACTTGGTTTTCATCTTATCTTCGGGACCGCCAGCAGTTGGTGCAGTCTGGGGAATCATCCTCATCCTGGCTCAATTTGAAAACTGGTGTTCCCCAAGGCGGTATTCTTTCTCCTCTTCTTTTTTCAACTTTTATTGATTTTATAACTCACAAACTTCAGTGTTCGTATCATCTATATGCTGATGACCTACAACTCTACACCGAAGCAAGTATTGATGATTTAAACAATGCCATTGATGCGATAAACAGTGACTTAAAGGCTATCAAAACATGGTCGGACAATTTTGGTGTCACTGTCAATGCTGCTAAATGTCAAGCTATGTTAATAGGTGGATCAAGAATGATGAGCAGAATTGACAGAAACATTCTTGGGTCTATATTCTATGACGGCACTTTGATACCTTTTAGTAATGTTGCAAAAAATCTTGGTTTGTATGTTGACTCAAATTTCAAATGGCAGGATCAGGTAGGTAGTGTCTGTCAAAAGGTAACTGGAACATTGCGTGCTCTCTACCGCTTGAAAAATTTTTTGCCTATCAACATCAAGGCAATGCTTGTGCAAACTTTGATTTTTCCTATAATCGACTATGGTGATGTGTGCTACCTCGATCTGAATGCAGATCTACTCAATAAACTTGATCGACTTCAGAATAACTGCATTCGATTTGTTTTCAATCTTAGAAAATATGACCATGTGTCCGCATAC